AGCCTGTAATCCCAGCACTTTGGGAGGCCGAGGCGGGCGGATCACGAGGTCAGGAGATCGAGACCATCCTGGCTAACACGGTGAAACTCCGTCTCTACTAAAAAATACAAAAAACTAGCTTGGGTGTGGTGGCGGGCGCCTGTAGTCCCAGCTACTCGGGAGGCTGAGGAGGAGAATGGCGTGAACCCGGGAGGCGGAGCTTGTAGTGAGCGGAGATCCGGCCACTGCACTCCAGCCTGGGCGACAGAGCGAGACTCCGTCTCAAAAAAAAAAAAAAAAGAAAGAGCCTACAAGGTACCAAGCAGGAACTGAAATGTTTTTAAAGACACACACAAATACAATCTGATAAAATTGTGAGCTCCAAAATAAGGGGAAAATTCTACATGCTTCAATAAACAAAGGATTTTGCATGCAGAATTTAGTTGTCTGCTAAGCTAACATTCAAATGAGGAAAAAATAAATATTTGAATACACAAACACTCAAAAATTATCCACACTCCACTATTTCTTGGTGCAAAATTTTTCAAAAAAGTTCCAGAAACATAATTCAAGGAATGACTTATACAAATAAATGATTTGTTGAGTCCAAACACACAGTTAATGGTGCGGCTAAAAATTTTGGCTAACTTTTGTTGAGAGAGATTCCTAACATACAAGAAGCATACTATTTTTAAAGGTTAAGATTAAAACGCGTAATATTCCAGAACTAAAATTCCAGATGATTTCAATATATCCTGGAGGAAAGAAAATGAAACACAAGGGAAATAAAAGTACACCAAAGATCCAATCTTGTTAAAATATGAAATTTTAGAAACTAATTATGGAAATTGAAAAGAAAATATGAATTGTAATATATTTTTAAAACTTGAAGGTTAACAGTATCAGATCAGAAATAGGATATTAAGTTTCCAAACCACAAGGGAATAGGGAGATAAACAAAAACAAATATGATAAATAAAATATAAAGTTTGATGTCAGGAAAAGATTCAAAAAGTATATAGTCATAATGATTATGAGTAAATTAAATATCCTCATATTGATAATAACAAAAGATAAAGGATGACGAAACAAAGATAAAGACACAAAAGCAACAGCAAAAGCCCAGCTACACAGTACCTGTAAAAGATCAAAAACTAAAATGACAGACATGACTTTAAAATAGAAAGACGACAAAAATACTAACAAAAATAATGTGCAAAAGGCAGTAGTATTAACAAAAAGTCATTATGAAAGCATTCCTAGAATGTATAAAGAAAATCTATCGCCATAGTTCGATATGCAGTGAGACCATGGGTAGCAGTACTGAACTTCACAATTAATAACAAAACCAGAATGAAACCCAGATCCCTTAATTCTTACTGGTATCTAAGCTTTTGTTAATAAAGCAGACACATTACAGTTATGTGTCGCTTAATGACAGGGATATATGTTCTAAGACAGGTATCACTAGGCAATTCTGTCATTGTGCAGAAATCACTGGGTGTCCTTCCCAAACCTAGACGGTAGAGTGTACTACACACCTGGGCCACATCGTAAAGCCTATTGCTCCTGGGCTATAAACCTGTGCAGCATGTTTTGTAGTTACTGTGTTGTAGGTGATTGTAACACAATGGGAAGTATTTGTGAATCTAAACATATTAAAACATCGAAAAGGTACAATAAAAATATGGTATAAAAATATTTTTAATGGCACCCCTGTATAGGGCACTTAACCATAACTGGAGCTTGCAGGACTGCAAGCTGCTCTGGTGAGTCAGTGCTTGAGTGGTGAGTGAATGTGAACGCCTAGGGCATTACTGGCTGCTACTGTAGACTTTATAAACACTGTACATTTAGGCAACACTAAATTTATTTTAAAATATCTTTAATAATAAATGAATTTTAGTTTACTATAACTTTTTTACTTTTAAAACTTTTAAATTTGTTTAACTTTTTCACTCTCTTATAATAACACTTAGCTTAAAATACAAACACAGTATACAGCTGTAGAGAAATATTTTCTTTCTTTATAAGCTTTTTCCTATTTTAAAATTTTCTTTTTTTATTTTTAAGATTTTGTGAAAAACTAAGACACAAATGCACATACTAGCCTAGGCCTACACAGGGTCAGGATCATCAACATCACTGTCTTCCACTCCACATCTTGTCCCACTGGAAGGTCTTTAGGGCAGTAACACGCATGGAGCTGTCATCTCCTATGATAACAACGCCTGCTTCTGAAATTCCTCCTGAAGGACCTGCCTGAAGCTGTTTTACAATTCACTCTTTTATAATAAGTACAAGGAGCACACTCTAAAATATAGAGCTACCGTGTCACTAGGTGGCAGGAATTTTTCAGCTCCATTATTATCTTATGGGACCACTGCCATATAAGAATGTTGACCAAAACATCATTATGTGGCACATGACTATACCATGTATCAGCGAAGCTAAAATATCTCAGAATTATATGGGCATTTAGCAGTTTCCCTCACCCACCCATTTCCCCTACTGCATCAGCCCCAGGCATAGCAACACCTTCACCTGCTCCTAGACACAGCTCCTGCTGGGACCTCACCATCTCAGGAAGGATTATTTAGAGGATTATTATCTGTGATATTCTGTAGATATGTGTTTGGTTTTTGGTGGAAGGGAGGGATATTTTGTTTGCCCACGCAGAACTTTTTTAAATAGGAGCAAGTGTGAACATGTTACAAGTTTAATATTTCCCACAAAAAAAAAAATCTGAATTTCTAGCTTTCCTTGAAAAATTGGAGGATCCAGGCAGGCCTGGCCTGAGATTTCCATGCAGCAGCCACCAGGGGACAGACTGTTAGCTCCCGCTGGATGGGCACGCCCTCCCCTGTGGGCCACAGGCATCACTGCACACGCACTGCTTTTGGACCTACAGCAAAAAAACTACACTCTGAATCTCTGTGTCCCTAGATGTGGAAACGAAGACAAGGATTCTTGTTCAAGTGATTTATTGGGAGAGTGCCTTTGGGACCAGGGACGTGAGGAAAACAGCTGAGGGCAAGGGCACAGGACCAAGCGAGGATGTGGTCTCAGCTGAAGACCAGCTTCACTCTGATCCCTGGGGAAGCTCTGGAGGACACAATGCCCCACAGAGCTACTCTCACCTTTAGATAAAGGGCCCGGGGTGAGGAGGGAGTGATATCCTGGGCTGTCTGGCTCAGGGAAATTCTCCAGGGAAGGGGACAGCTGTGCACCCTTAGCACACAGGGCTGGGGCATGGATGCACAGACAGGTATCAGGGAAAGGGGATATGGGCAGGGTCCCAGCAGCATTCAATCCACCATGTCCTTATTAAATGCAGGGGAATACAAGATATACAAAAGAGCTAAGTGCTTCAAGGAACATAGGAGAGTGTATTTCTTCAGGGAAGCAAAGAATATTCCTCAAGTTTAATATGTAAACAAGTGCAAACAGTGGGCCACAGCACTCTTTAGGTGACCTTCCCAGGCCCTATAAATACCTGCATTTGCCCCACCCCACCCCCATTACATGCTGTTCCCCTCTTTCAGTGTAGTCTGTCCCCACCCAGACTTATCACCACAAGCAGGCCCTCCGGTTAACCCCAGGACTCTCCAGGGAAGTGGCTGCTCAAAGTTAACTGGGCAGGAACAGGATGGAATTCTTTAGGATTACTGAAGACTACATTGAAACACCACAAAACCAGTTTAGGGACAGTAAGGAAAGGAGACAGAAAAACACATTCCTATGTCATCAGTAATAAGTACATCACATCACAGGCAGAAGTTATTTTGATAACCAATGTGTAAACACTCTTAGAATGACATTAAATAATCCTCTGAAAGTCAATAAAGAATTGACCAAGAAGAAATTTGAAAACTTCAATAAAAATAATTGTACAAAACAGGATTTAAAAAATTAACTTGTATGTTAAGTTCAGAGGTACATGTGCAGGTTTGTTACACAGGTAAATTTGTGTCATGGGGGTTTGTTGTGCAGATTATTTTTTTACCCAGGTATTAAGCCTAACACTCATTAGTTATTTTTCCTGATCCTCTCCCTCCTCCCAGCCTCTACTCTCCAACAGGCCCCAGTGTGTGTCACTCCCCTCTATGAGTCCATGTGTTCTCATCATTTAGTTCCCACTTAAAAGTGAGAATACGCGGTATTTTGTTATATGTTCTGTGTTAGTAAAACAGGAATTTTTTTAAGTCAGAGAATTAATGTCTCAGAATCTGAAAAATTATTGTAAATTTGTGCTACTGGGTCAATAACATGATTTTTTTTTTTCTTCTTATATTTCTTTTTTTTTTTTAATTTATTTATTATTATTATACTTTAAGTTGTAGGGTACATGTGCATAACGTGCAGGTTTGTTACATATGTATACTTGTGCCTTGTTGGTGTGCTGCACCCATTAACTCGTCATTTACATCAGGTATAACTCCCAATGCAATCCCTCCCCCCTCCCCCCTCCCCATGATAGGCCCCGGTGTGTGATTTTCCCCTTCCTGAGTCCAAGTGATCTCATTGATCAGTTCCCACCTATGAGTGAGAACATGCGGTGTTTGGTTTTCTGTTCTTGTGATAGTTTGCTAAGAATGATGGTTTCCAGCTGCATCCATAAAAAGTCAGGAAACAACAGGTGCTGGAGAGGATGTGGAGAAATAGGAACACTTTTACACTGTTGGTGGGATTGTAAACTAGTTCAACCATTATGGAAAACAGTATGGCGATTCCTCAAGGATCTAGAACTAGATGTACCATATGAGCCAGCCATCCCATTACTGGGTATATACCCAAAGGATTATAAATTATGCTGCTATAAAGACACATGCACATGTATGTTTATTGCAGCACTATTCACAATAGCAAAGACTTGGAATCAACCCAAATGTCCATCAGTGACAGATTGGATTAAGAAAATGTGGCACATATACACCATGGAATACTATGCAGCCATAAATAACATGATTTTTTAAAATCAAAATTAAGAAGTGTAGAGTTCTCTATCAGAGTTTACGTACCTCAGAACTGGAGAGCCCGGAATCTTTCTCATCCAAGTCCTTCAAAAGCTCAACCAGCCTTTTCTTCTCTCTCTCAATCATAACTACTGGGTTTCTTGATTCCTTGGCCAACTGCAGAATTTATTAATGGAAATATTATATAATCAAAGAAAACCACAGTTCAGGAAAATAAAAATGGAACCTGAGACTTCTACACTACAGATACACAAAGAGAAAAGTTGTGAGATTAGGCATTTTACATTTGCTAGGTAATTTTATTTGACACAAAAATTTTTGTATAGGGCCGTTCTCTAATATTCAAAGATATCCCTATAAGCAGCCCTTCCTGTTAACCATTCCAACAGACGTTTTATTAAAAATTAATATGAGCAGTTTTCAAACCTCTCTATCATAGATAAAAAAATATAAATGCAAAAACATCCTTGCTGAGACATTTGGAAGAAATCTTCTTGCCACTTTCTTTGGGGTACTGATCCACTAAATGAAAGTGCTTTTAAATTTCAAGACTATCATATGAGGAATTTAAATATTCAGTTACTATTAAAAAGGGGAAAGAGAAATCTATCGTAGACCTGCTGTGTCAGCAAGAACCTGGATAAGGGGCGAACTCTACTGCTCTAGGAAAATTGAGCAGTAAATAAACATACAACTGGCCAATGCAAAGACAGAGACAGATCGAGATGGAGAAGATTTCCTGAAGAAGATCATATGAACATGGAGCACAAAAGTCGAGCGTCCCAGAGGCCAGTCCTGGCAGTGGCAGGCTGTCCCACGAATCCAGTCTGCCTGGAAATGATCTGCCAATTATGGGGAAAGCATCAGGCTTGAAGTGTAAAAAATTACTTAACTCTCTCTTGTCAATACTCCACACTTGCCCATGCAGTTTTCTAGTGATGCTGTTCAAGGGGTGTGTAGAGCTTCTGTCCTCCTCACTACATTTCTTGTTGCAAATTAATTAATTCGCATTCTGGTCTAACCTAGCAACCCCTGTGCCCTTGTTTAGTGTAAGTCTGCCTTAAAGACAAACCAAGTCAGGTTGCAAGGCCTGTAAGACCAAAGATGGGTGCTTGAAGCAGAAGCTAATCAAAGCCAGTGACCAGCTGCCAGGAGGTTCAGCGAAGAGGGAGACAACCAGTTGGCTTCTCCAGCCCAGCTGCTGCCAGGAGCATTTTCCATTCAAAGTTGTAAATGTACTAGCTATAAAATCAGTCTTACTACTTAAAAAAAAAAAATTTACTAATATGCAATTTAAAATCTGAGAAACATTGTCCAAAGCTATTATCTAAATAAATGTTTTACAAATTGCAGGAAACAGACTGTTTCTGGATAGTGAAATAAATGATAGACACACCTAGCAGTTTTAAAAAGAGATAGGATAGGATAGGATGTAGTGGGTTGAACATAGAAATAATGAAGTACTGGTTTATAAAAGTTTTCTTTTATTATATCTACTAATTCAATCATTTATACATTTATGATGGTTGAAAAAATATTTCAAGACACTGAATTGAAAAAACTATTGCCATTTTTTCAGCTCATTTAGCCCCAAATTCTCGCTTCTGAATTTCTAGGTACATACCTCAATGTTTCTCCTAATAAAATCCTGGTTGTGTTTACCCCTGAGCTCAATCTTTTCTGTATTTGAGAAAGGTTTCTTTCCTGCTTTGATCAATGACTCATTTCTTTCCACATCACAGGTAAAATCTAATATTAAGAAAGTTCAAAAATTTTTCGTAATTATAAGTGTCAATTATGCTAAAAGCCCACTTTAAGCATATATTAAAGTATATAAGAAATAAAACACACACAGAAGAACTAACTTCTACATTCCAGATCCAGAAACCTCATATATAATGGAGATCTATTCTTAAAAAGATAAATGTGCTACCGTAACTTCGAATGAAGTTCTCAAAAAACTTCTTGTGTAATTCATTATCATGTATCAAACTTCTTCCTGTTGATTCCATGAGAATGATGGGAAATATCAATAGAACTTCAAGACAGACATGAGATGAAGAAATTGCTGATGTTAGGGAGGCTTTAAAATATATATTTTATTTCAGTCTTGACACAAAACAGAAATTTCCCTAACGACTGGGTCATCCCTGCTATTCTGTTAATTTGCCATCACCCCTTCTGAACAGTGCATTTTGTTTAGACTGTCTTTTGAGCAAGGTCTGGGAATTAGTGTCCTATGTCCTGGCTCCCATCTATACAAACCCCTAGAGCCCATCTCAGTTGGCCAATTTTCCTCAACCATTCGGAAGAGGCTTGAGTCAATGTCTGAGATATTCAGACACTGAGTGCTCAAAATAAGAATAAGAAAAATACTTGTGGATTCATATTCCCCTTTATAAAATATCTCATTTTCTCTGTGTCACATTAAAATATTTTTAAACAAGATCACGTGAGCCCTTAATTAAAGCTCTGAAAATATGCACGAAGAAGGAACGTCTCCTTAAATAGCACATGCAGTTCGCCCTACAAAACAGGATGCATTTTCACATTAAAGTCCACAAAAGAAAAAAACACCAGTCACAAGCTCAATCCAGACAAAGTTTACAGAAAAGTTAATTTTGTTTTCTAAGGGAGGTTACCTGAACAAAAAGGATGAAGTGAGCTAGTCAATTGGTGTGTTTATAGCTAGTTATCAAAAAGTCAATACAGATGTAACCATTTAAAAATTTTTGATGAAAATAGCTGGAAAGAATGAGGGAAAGAGTAAGATCTCTTGATTAAAATCCTTTGCAAACAAAAGTAGCTTTGAGTAAAAAAAAAAATTTTACTCAAATTTAAGTTATATAAGCTTATACGCAAATAAACCTACACTTTAAACCTGGGGTTTTATTTTTTAACAGTCACATAATTATCTTTCAAATCAACTACCAATAGTTAAAGTATGAGTTACCTTTTTGGTAAGTGGCCTAATACATACAAGATATAACACTTCTTTCCATAATTCAAGTTGTATACAGTCCTTTAAGTTGAAATATGAGGTTTGTTTATTCATTCAGCTGAAGTTTCACATACTCGTAAGCAATACAACATTTAAAAAATACAAATTGAACACAGCCATGTCTATATTTATCACAGAGCTTCTTTAAAGTACATTTCTAATAAATAGTAGGGAAAACACATTGGGTTATCTGGCCAGAACTGTCTTCACTGTAAATGTCCTCTTCTCCTCTCCAGTCTGGCAGTGATATAGCTGCCATGTTCCTACAGACCCCAAACCTTGCTGGGTTGGACAAGTTGGTTGAGCCAGGCGTAGACCCCTGACCCAGCTGGATCACTCAGGCTCTTCTCTAAGATTGCAGAATTGAGCCAGCCTCCGAATGACTAACCACAGCATATGCTCTTGGGAACCAAAGAAAGCTGCCTCCCACCAAAATCCTTTTCACAGGTTTCTTTGTACTGAAGCCAGGTTCTCATTACTTGCAGCCAGCTTTTAAAAAAACTCTTTATTGTTATACAAAACGTCAAGCATCCAAAGTAGAAGGGTATAACAGATTCTCAACAATTAGCTGCAACAATGACCAGTCTTGTGTCATCTTGAACCCTCCTTGCTTCCACTTACCTTTGGATTAAATTACATGAACTTATTTCATTTATGAATATTTCTGTATACAGCTAGTATTCCCTTGTGAAAATATGTATGATCACACAAATTAAAACATACCTTTACTGAGTTTCTGCATCTGCTTTTCATATTCTTCAGGAGGGATCTGAGTATGAAACACGGAGGCAAACGTGTCTTCATTCTCATGAGAAGGACCTGCTGATTTAAAAAATCATCTGTTCAATGCTCACAAAATAAATTAAGAAATTGTCTACAAAGTTGTTTTTAAAAGATAACATTTAATATTCTCTCCAGTGTTCCCCAATCCCCTCCAGACATACAAATTTCTTAAGACAATGTCAATGTCACCTCCAAGTAGAAATGACAATCATCTTTGTATACAGGAGCCAATGAAACAAACTACAGAAGCTAAGATAGTTAAACAGCATTTCCCTAGAACTTAAGCACAAAAAAAAAATGTGTAACAGTGTGCTAAAATATCACATTAACTCTCCAGAGACAATGCACCCAAATCTTGATGTTCATAATATAGAGAATATGCACACTGAGTAAATATAATTGTGATTTTCTTTTTATTTTAGGTCCTCAAGGTGGAGACTTCAAATATGTGATCAGTCATTAAGATGAAAGCATGTGAGAGATAACTTGGGAGACTCTTAGCAATTAACTTTCTTCTTTTCTGATGTATTTTCTTGGCACCTCCATAAAGAAAATAGGACATTGTGTTTTTCAACTTCTTTGTTTCAATGTAGTTTATTTTTATGATCTCCTACTAGCTAATTTGGACACTGTATATTTGCAAGATGCTGCTAACATAAACATTTTATTGTAAGTGTGTCTCTATACCCTAACGTGAGAGAATCTGCCAGGCTGTGGCACAGAAATGGTTCTGCCTCAGAAAACATGGGAAGTCTTGAGGATATTACAGGATCCACCACCTTTCCCAGAAAGCAAACCAAGTTCAGACATCCCCTATGAGCTGATACAGACAAAGGAAGCAGGCAGAAGATACATTTACCCTCAACACACAACCACCAAATTCAAAACACAAAACTTCTGCTATAAACACTAATTCATCAATACCAATTCCCTAATTTGGAATTCATAATAATGAATTATGAACTGGGGTTGACATTACCCTGTTAGTCTTTGTACAATCTTTGATGAGTTAATCAAGCAAATTTGTGGTGTAAGCCTGGGGAGAGAGGGATAAACTATTTAGAAAACAAGAAGGTTTAAAATTGTTTTTGAACTTTCATTTTTTTGGTGCAACCACTATTATTAAGAGATCTTGAATATTCATTACAAGTAGGCTCAGCAAGTCAGTAATTTGGCAACATTTTATTATCAGTTTAAGTTACATTTACATCATAGTCCTGAAGTGGTAATATATTTATTTTCTATCCCATAATTCCTTTATGATAACCGTTTCACTCAATTTTATACTAAAACACCTGTAAAGACATAAAAATATGAAAATTTACAATACTGCAAACCCTCGCAGGTGATCAGCGACTATCTGAGGCCAGTGTCACGTAGGTGGTGAGAAGAAGCTGAAATTACTCTTGTGACCCTGTGGCTCTTTGCCCATCATCCCAGTGGTATTCACTGCCTCAGACAGAGGTGGGTACTACCTACAACAAGGGTGCCATCGATCAGCTTTGAGTTTAAAAGACAACAGTTTTAAAAGTTGGGCATTCAGTTGCAAGAGCTTAACCCTTGGGGGAAAAAAAAATTCTGAATTCCAAAAGTCGCCCTTTAGAAAGTTCTTCCTTCTTTTTCAAAAATAATGTAGAAGAAATTATGGAATTAACCATTTAGTAGCCATCATAATAATTGACTCAGGTAAGTATCGTCAGTGAACGATAAAACTAGTGGGTGACAGTTTGAGGAATAATAGGATAATAGCCTCAAAGCATCTATCTCCCCACAAGATAATTTATTAATTACCAAAGGAAAAATAGTAACTTTACCATGGAAAAACCTGGTAGACACCATTTTCATCTAAAGTTAACATTGTGAGTATCGGGACCATCACCATCACGCATTTCCTGATCTGATCCATTGAGAAGGACACTATCACTTCTGTGGGACTCCTGCCAAAAACACATAACCTGAACCTAACCGAGCAGAAACCAACCAACCCAAACTAGAGGACATGGTACAAAATAATAGGCCTACTATCTTCAAAAATGCCTATGTCATAAAACACGGAGACTAAAAGGTATGACGGGAATGTAAGCCATAGCCTGAGATTTTTCTTCTGCTAGAAAGGATATTAGTGGGACAATTGGCAAAATCTCAATAAAGCCTATTGATAACTGCATAATAATCATTTCCTGATTTATATGTATAATCGTGCATGTATGCATGTATATGTGTGTCCTTATGTGGAGAGGGAGAGAGAAAAGAGAATGTGGTAAAATTTCAACATTTGGAGACTCTGGATAAAGAGTATTTGAGAATCCTTTGTATTTTTCTTCTGACTTCAAATCTGAAGTTACATCAAAATTAAAAGTTAATAAGAAAATTTTTCAAATTCCTCTCTTCACTACAAACATTCATATGAGAAGGGAAAAAAAAAATCTCCCTTTAGAGATCATGAGCCAAAAGTTTGATGATTGAGCACAGTTTTTCATGTGACTCCTGAAAGAGGACGACTGCAGGATGTGATTTAAATTGCTTACTGCCACCCATGGAAGAAATTAAAACTCATCCCAAATAAGGATCTAGAGGACCTAGAAGACCAGCAGAGGGGATGAGTTTAGAGCAGACACAAGTGATACAGGTATTAAGCTGCTCCCCGGCACAGCCCCTGGAGGTGAAATCCTGGAGGTGCATAGAGAACCTGAAGAGGACGGAGAAGCCCAGAGCAGAGTGAGCTCTGCCTCACTGTACACCTGGAACTGAAGGGAGACCCCACACACAGGAACGCAGTGCTCTCCATCCACCCACGACAGCTGCAGAGAAGCAAAGGCAGTGTGGCATGCTTACAGCGAGACAGGGGCTGAAGTCATCTGTCTCTCTCTCCCCCCTCCCCCAGGCACAGACACACACACACACACACACACACACACACACACACACAGAGTTCCCCATGGTTGGCTGGCCTGTGGCTTGAAGGAGACCAGAAGCTCTCACACGCCCCTGTAAAGATGACTGGCGTCGCGATGAGGGGGTGGCACACAGTCTCCCACCAGACAGGATGTGGCAGGGACCACATAGAACATCAGCATCTGCTGGCAGATGGCAAAGGCTAAATGGGACTAGCTACAAGTCAGCGGACGCCCCAGCTGGCTTCCCATATCCACAGACCAAGCGGGACAGGTTGCCTCTGAGAGAACAGCAAGGACCAGATGCACGCGCCACCCCCCCAACCCCCCGCCACCCCCAGGCCATGATGCTACACAAGCGTCCTCCCGAACCCAGACACCACCCTGAGAAAAGGCAGGGAGAAACAGAAAGGGAAAAAGAGCCTCATTTCTGAATACTGAACTGTACAATTTTTAGATGTCCTACACAAGTATAGTAAATTCTCTCTTAACATCATCTATAGATTCTTGGAAACTGCGACTTTAAGCAAAACGACATATAACAAAACCAATTTTACCACAGTCTTATAAATATAAATAAGAATTAAGTTTCTATGGCACATTTCTGGTCACAAAAACATTATTAAACTTCTAAATAAAGACCAAAACACTTCTAATATTAAACACTGACATAAATGTGGGCTATAAGTATATTTAAGAAAAATTAATAAAAATAAATCAGGTAATTATTTACCAGCTTATTCCAATTCAGAGTCTCGGACGGCCGGAGTCTCTCTTGGCAGCTCAGAGTTCCAGGCAGGAACGCACCCTGGACAGGATGCCATGGCAAGGTGCACTCAGACGCACCCACACTCACTCACAGTGGAACCACGTAGATAACCTAACATGTGTATCTGTGAGATGGAGAGGAAACCAGAGTGTCTGCAGAAAACCCAGGCAGACAGGGGGAAGACAAACAAACTCCATACAGACAGTGGCCCTAGCTGGGAATCCTTTTCTTTTTTTCTCATCGATATTATAATAAAATGACATTGAGCCCAGCGTGGTGGCTCACACCTGTAATCCTGGCACTTTGGGAGGCCAAGAGGAATCTCTTGAGCCCAGGAGTTTAAGACCAGCCTGAGCAAGATGGCAAGATCCCATCTCTACAGAAAATTTAAACATTAGCTGGGCATGGTGGCATGCACCTGTAGTCTGTTACTCAGGAGGCTGAGGTGGGAGGATCCCTTGAGCCCAGGAATTCAAGGTGGCAGTGAGCAGTGATCATGCCACTGCACTCCAGCCTGGGCAACAAAATGAGATCCTGTCTCTAAAAATAAAAATTAAAAAAATTAAAAATTAAAAAACACGATGTTGAATGAAATGACATCATTCGAGGACCTACCGTTATCAGCGGCCATGCAAGCTTTGCCTACTGAAACAGCGCAGGGGCAGACTTAGATCTAAATAGAAGGCAGCCCCTTGACTCAGAGATAAAAGGAAAATATCACCCAGAAACCAGAGTCCCCATCTCCTTGAGCAACAACACTGTTTCTTGAGGCAGTTCAAATGCGTTACTCAACTGCCATCAGGCTTCTTTCTGCATCTCTTCAGAGGCTGCAACTCCTAGAAAACAACTGCACAGAAAGGAGGCAGAAACGAGCAATAAAGATGTACTCCTGCAAGCAGATCCTCACAGCGGAGACAGAGGTGTGATGCTAAGAGCCTTGAAAGGCTTGTCCCCAGAACTACATCAGTTATAGGTATTGAATCCGAACCAGCATAGCAGAGTCTCAGGAGTGAATGTCCGCTAGACACTCAAAACTGAAATGGCAGCTGGGCACAGCAACCTAAGATGCAACCAGAGATTTAAAATCACAATTTTACCAGCATCCAGATGGACCACGAGCAGACTCAAGGCAGATGTGCCTTTTTGCTCTGTTGGCAAATGGCAGGTGTGGATGGATTTTACCTCACTGGAGGATGAGAAGACACAGAAGGAAAAACATGAAAAACACATGAAACAGCAGCCTGGTAATCAATGGGACAGCAGACATTTTGAAAATACTTATACATATCATACAATTTCTAAAAACATTTTGGCATCCTCAATACATCAAAATACATGACATTTGTGAAATCAGAGGAGTAACTCACAGGAAAGAA